GTACGTGTATATGTCATAATTTAAAAATAAACTTGAATAATAAACGAAAATCATAATTAAAACAAAAGTTTGTACTAATGATGACCGAGTTTACAAGCTGGTTCTAACAGACACTGGTCGAAAATTCTACTTTGTCATATAAATGAATAGAATAGATAAATAAATAAATAAATAAAAATATATTAATTATTACTGCATTTTCTCTTGTTTTAATTATGATTTTCGTCTATTATTCAAGTTTATTTTTAGAAAATTTTATCACTGAGTGATGATCAAAATTTTTGTATTTTCGATCAGTGTCTGGACAGTAGTTTAAAATCTATTTCTATATTTTCATATATATGTTTAATTCAACTGAGCTTATGATGTCTATAGATAAAGAACTGTATGAACCACGCACAGGCAATAGTACAAATATAGCAGCGCTTATTATTTTGTTTTTTAATAAAACCAGTCCGGAAACTTTTCTAACGCCCTACGTATTTCATTTAGAGAAAGAATCTCTATACGATAAGACTCAACGAGCATTTCAAAAAATTTATTGGAATATTATGGAAAGTTTATAATTATGAGTTCAATGAGATTAGACAATTCGAATCATTGTAAAAAAAAAACAATGCAAGAGATAAGACAAATTTCTTGAGGAGTCGAAAAGGAAGATATGTTCGCCCTGTACTTTTCACCCACACCCTAGTTATATGTCATGTTAGCTCACGATTTTCAAAAAAAAATCAATCTGAGCTTCCCTATATTTGGCAGGAAGCCATATAGAATAAAGAAAAAAACAATATTTTAAGAATTATCTAATTGATTATATATAATCCAATATATTCGATAGCTTTTTTGATATCTTATTGTTTATATAATGTGATGTTGAATTTGAAAACACAATTTCCTTTTTAATTTATATACCATCATACTCTTCTATAAATTTTAATTATTGAAATCTCTATAGTAATTTTACTCAAGAAAAATAGATTTTTATAAAATATAATCATTATAATAAAATGAAGAGAATCCTCTGTATTTACTTTATGGCAAAATCTAAATATAAGTATATTGCATCTTCACTAAAAATATCTAAAACATATTCTCTGCCGAGATCTTGATGAATAGATCGTAATTGATGACATTTTCAAGCTTGAACAGCATCATAAGTGCATGAGTAAACTTGTACATTTTTCGTTTTACTTCTTAATTATTCTTAATGTCTTTAATTGCTTGACTACTGTCTTGTAATGTTTGTGCAAAATATATGAATATTCAGAACATAATATTGAAAAAGAGTTAGATATTGGATCATTGAATGAAAAGCATAATGTAATGATTACGAAGTCATTATGTACATGCCACATTAATCTTAAAATTATTTTTCAAATATTGTTTGCCGTGATTTATATTATCAAAAAGACTCCTCAACTTGTATCGCCTAAAATCTACACACGACACATGGTAGTTGTTGAATCTGCTTGAGAAGCATGTAATCGAGCATCAATAAATCGATAATAAGTATTATTACGAATAAATGATTGTAAAATTGAAAAATTAATTTTGAGTGCTACAATTGATAATAAGGTATGGAGAAAAACTTCGGGACAATATTCCTATCGATATAAATAGAAAAATTTCTGAGAACTTTTTTCAATAAATTATATCACAAGAATGCAGCGTGAAAAGTTCTACAATTTATAATTGATAGCTGACTTTATAATTCTATTTTTGCTTTTTCAAAATCGACAAAATTCTAAGCAATTAGATTTCAATGCTGCCAATACGTTTTCTTCTTATTTATTAGCTGATATGTTTTATTAAAAAAAAAAAATCACCCTGTAACAAAAAAAATATCGTTTTTTAATGGTTGAAATTTCGTCTATTTTCAAAAACAAAAAGTGTAACTATAAAATAAGCGGCTTTATATACATTGTACAGCTTTTTACGTTACATCTTATGGTATACTTTATTGAAAAAAAAAATTCTCAGAAATTTTTTATATTTATATCGATAGGAAAATTCTCTCGAACTTTTTTTTCCACATATTATTATATAATGAAGATTGAAGAGAAGGTCATATGTAAGATTTCGTAGATCGAAATTCGCTCTATCAAATGAGATATTATTCGGAAAAATTTTGATAACTTACTATGAAGAAAATGATCAAACACTAACTTACCAAATTTAACATGAAAAAATAAACGTTTTCTTTTTGTTTTAAATCTGTTAAGAGTGCATACAGTATTTACTTCATAGCTCTTCAGAAACAAGCTATAATGGGCTAAAACTTTTGAATTTATAGATTTTTTACTATGTTCTTTCATTTGCAATAAAAAAAAAATATATATAGGAGTCAAAATTTTTGGAAGATCAATCCTGTTAGTAAATGTTCTGTATTGTCGCACTCATCAGGTAAAATGATTCGAATTTTATAAGTCTTTCTCAGAGTAGATTTCATTGCACTTAAACAAAGAAATTTTGATTATTTGTCGTTGTCTCATCAATTCAGTTGCACAATTATCCAATGATTATACGAATGTTGTTTTGGATGCGTCTCATTTCATAATACTATCTGCTACGCCGTTCTTACCTATACAAACGGCGGCCGAAAGAAAAATTTCACCTAGCCATGTTTTATTTAGGGCTCGCAAGCAAAAAACGCGCTGATTATTCAATCATTACTACATTGTTTTGCACATGGATGATGCAAGGTGATTTTTCTTTTTATCCTTCACCTTATTATTATACTAGTGTGCATAAGCAAACAAATGTTGACATCCAATTTTTGGATGACTTGTATGATTCCGGAATATTATCTATCAATGTTAGTGTAACATGTAAACATAAATTGGTCGATTCTCTTCTCCTTCAATATACATGTTTGTTAAATTTGAATCTACAGATCAAGAGTAGAATAATGAAACTTGTCGTTTTTTTTAATTTTTATATCATGACAGTTTGATTTATTATTCTTCATATATTATCCATGTGTCACATGAGAAAAAGGTAAACATAAATATGCAATAATTCATTTTGTCATTGATGATTCTAGTGAGTTAATATGCTTTTTTGTTTGTATGTGCTATGATAAGATGCTGATAATATCAAAATTCAAGTAAAAAATTTTTTTTCGCTTTTTTTTTACCTCATTTGATAGAGCTTGAGCTGCTGATCACGAATAACTACTTTTTAGCGTTAGCAAATGCTTTTTTCAGGTAAAAAACTACGATAAACTAGAAAGGTGTCGTTTTTTCTAGAAAAATACATCTTTTTCAAAATGTAAAAAATTTTCTGCTTCATCCTTTTCTTCAACCTTGAAATATGTTTTTCGAATTCAGCATCAAAAATTAAATATAAATAAGTCGTTAAATCTCTTTTGATGGTGACACTTTGCATTGATTCGAGTGCAATACGTTATAAGTCGATTTTATAAACCTATTTAGTTTTTATATTTAAGCGATGAAGTTCAATATTTTATATCATTTAATTCATCATATTACCAGTCACAAAAATACGCATCACGCTTTTTTTTTTCTTTGAATCAATTTTTCTGGATTCGAAAATTAGCGTAAAAAATTGAATTGACTGATATATGATTGAACCGTTTTCTGTGGACTTTAGATTTTTTTTAGATTTCCGAAACATACATCAGTTGTCTCAGTTTTTTTGCGCTGATCCTGAATATAATAATATTATTACATAAAGACTTAGTTTTATAAAGAAAATAGAGAAATAAGAGCCAAATTCTATCTTTTTAGTCCAAAATCCAGTTTTTCTCAACAAAGAAAAAGCATACGATGTGTACTTTTGTGACTGGTAATATAATGAATTAAATGACGTAAAATATTTGACCTCATCACTAAAGTATAAAAACTAGATAGATTTACAAAATCGACTTATAAAGTATTGCACTCGGCTCGATTCGAAGTATCACTATCAAAGGAGATCTAACACCTTATTTATATTTAGTTTTTGATGCTGAATTCGAAAAAGATGTGTTTTTCTAGAAAAAAACAACACTCTTCTAGTTTTTCGTTATCAGCAGCTCAAGCTCTATCAAATGATGTAAAAAAGAGCGAAAAAAAAATTTTTTTTACTGAAAGTTTGCATTGCACACATCTTAAATAGAAGTATTTTTGTCCCGAATAGAGCACAAACTATCATAAGAGTGGCAAATAACTGATAAAAAATTGATTTACATTATTCAAGGATTACCTGAATCAATAATTCTATTAAATCAGAAAAAGAATTTTCATTCATATCTTTTAGATTATGACTGTAAAGTAAAACACAGAAGAATACCACGTCTGTTGAGCAATTTTATCAGTAAATGACTTCAAGCAACGATTCTCGTACACGACTAGTTACCAATCCAATAACAAGGATGGAGAATACTGTACCACACGACGAAACATCGGGACTATTGGCGATGATTCCTATGAGTACTCGACTTGATCGATCATTAATAACGGATGATGGAACTGTTTCTCAAAAAGAACAACATCCTCCCAGATTGAAGAAATTTCGACTATCTGACCAGAATGCTACATTAGCAGGTATCAGTTGTCGATTAACCAAGCGCAAACAATTACATAACAAATCGTAAGTTATTTACAACTACTTCACATTTTATATATTTTGCAAGTTATAGCTCTCTGGTGAACGATATCATGTGTTTTGTTGCATTGTCAGGCATTGTTCTTATGATATTTGAAAATGAACTAACTTTTGTTTCGCTTGATCATCATGACACAGACGCCAGTTGGGTGATCAAACTGTTTATCACAATATCCACTATTATTCTGATTGTTCTTATTATTTATTATCATTATTTACAGATGAAGCTTTATTGTGTGAATAACACAATTCAGTATTGGTATGTAGCATTAACTCGTCCAAGAATCATCCAAGTTATCGTGGAAATATTGATCTGTGCGATTCATCCGTTTCCTCATAAATCTGCTGTCCATAGTGATCTCTTTCCAAAAATCAACCGTGTCAATTCGACAATGTCTGGACCAACCCCGATTCCATTATCATTTATACCTATGGATGTTGCACTTGGATTGCCCAGTAAGTAGAGAACATCTGTTTGAAACATTATATTATCTCGTTTGAATATATTGACAGTGTTTGCTCGAATATATTTATTGTGTCGTTCAATTACCTTCCATTCACGTTTTCTCCGAGATTCTTCATCGCGATCACTCGGTTATCTAAATAAAGTTCCAATCAATTTTTTCTTTATTATTAAAGCTTATCTCGAACAATCACCCGCACTTTGTTTGGTAATTTTTTTTATGTTAATGTTTTGCATTGGAAGTTGGTCATTACGAGCATGTAACTATACGACCACTAATCAACATTTACCTATAGCGAATGCAATGTGGATGTTTATGACGTTATTTACTACTGTTGGTAAGTTTTATATAAATGATCGTCCGAAAGAAAAATGTATAACTCTTTTTTTTTCTCTAGGCTATGGCGATCTGATACCTTCCACATACTGTGGACGAGGTAGGTTGAAGATTAGCAAATCAGATGAATTTTTTTCTGACACTATCTTATTCCAATCAAATGTAGGATCGAGAAAATTCTCTTGATATCAATAGAGGTATAAATTGTGTCACCAGCGACTCTTTGTTTTCCTGAATCACATTGACGGCGTATCGTCAGCAGTGCACAAGTAAACAAAGAATCGTCGGCGGTCCGACAAAACGGCGTTTTCCTTTGATCGTTGATGGTACGTTTGAGAAGTTGAGATCATAGGAGATAATCGTAATTGAAACCTTTATTGATCCATTGTCGAGAGAAAACTTTAAATTAAGTTTTATTATTTTTACTCAATCAACTTAATCTTTGATTATCATTAGGTGTGGCTACTATAACGGCTATCATTGGTGTCATGATCAGTGCTTTTTTGATTGCCGTTCTCTCACAAATACTGCTACTCAATCGATGGGAAAAATATATCTACAATTTTGGTCTTAATATCGAAATGGCTAAAACACAGAAATTTTATGCTGCTAATATTATTTTTTATGCATGGAAAGTTTGGCGACTGAATCGATCGGGCATGCAGCGATCCATCGAATATGTGTACGCTCAACGAAAACTTTTTGGAGCAATATCTAATAATCAAACACTCAAACAAGAACAACGACAATTAGCAGATCATAATATTGGTCTTGCTGAATTGATGACTGCACATCGTGAGACAAGCACCAAAAGCGTACAAATAGAAGCAAAGATAAATTCCATGACATCAAAAATGAATCAAATCGAAGATATGCTCAAGGATATGAAGGATGCAATACAGGCTATGGACAATAGGCTGAATCTCTTACTGGATAAATCCACATCAACATGAATCGAAAAGAATATATGAAGAGAAACAGACCAATTTACTAAGGACATGATAGGAAACTGTTTTATTTCTTTTCTGAACAAAAGTAGAAGTATTTGTTAGGTAGTATAATCAATTGTTATCATCTATCACTTTTGCGTATTCTTCTATATGTGATAATTTTTCTTTTCTAGTTACATCATATGTATTTTCCTTTTTTCTTTATTTCCTTCCTATTCAATGGTAGGTTCTTTCCTCTTCTCTCTTAGATGTTTTTCCTAAATGTGCTGGGGGATATTATCATACCCTATGTATTATTCATCAACATATATATATATACATAGTTGGATATTTATTATGATAAACAGTTTAAGTGTATCGAATACAATTATCTTTAGCTCCTGCTCGATAGAACGAAAATTTATCCAAGCAAAATAACTTTATATATTGATAATCAAGCTAATATAATGGAGATAAAATGTTAACTGAACCAGACAACTACGATCAGAGAACTGAAATATTCTAATAACAACAAGCATATTAAGTAGAAATGTGTGGTGTGGATGTGCTTAAATCAATTGAAAAACAGATCGACCTAATATATTGAAACACTCATCAGAGCTCTCTGCATTACATTTTTCTAAGCATAAACAAAACAAACAAACAAAAATGTATAATAAGAAGTAAAGGGACCTTATTTTTAAATAGAGATTTCGACTGTTATTCGTCAATTCTATATATGAATAATTTATATTAATAATGATATGCCGGATTTTCTAATTGTTTAAATCATATTGGCTTTTTTATTTTTTTTCATATTCAAAACAAGTGTTAAATTTTCGAATCATAATCATATCTTTTTAAATTGAATTGACGAACAACGGACAACTGTTTCCAAGGAATAATTATGTCAAAAAATATATTGGATAGTTTACTAATAATATGACTGAATCGAAAAAGTTGTAAAGTCTCCGAGTATTGACGATTTCATCTATAATATTGTCTTATCAACTAATTATTCCTGACGAATAATAGATCAAGATCAAACCTCTATGCTATATGCGTTTTACAAGCTTAATAAAAGATAAAGTACAATTAATCATTTAAAATAATCAATTGAATGAAATACATATATAGTAAATACTCAGATGCATCAATAATAAATCTTGAATAAATCAAATTATTGTGACATATAAGTGCAACATCGAGCCTAAATACAATATACTTCCAGTATATTGTTGAAGATGTATATCGGTTACAGGTAAGGATGAGTTTGATTTAAACTAATATCACTCATTGGTCTTGAAAGAAAGTGTAACTTAGAACCGATATTTTAAAATAATAACTATACAATTGTATAAAAATAAATAAAATAAATAACAGTGAAATTACCTTTAGACAATAACAAGAACTATAGTAAAAAGTAAATAATAACAGTAGATTGATGCTTTTGAATAATAAAAAGAAAAAAACCTATGTCAAACAAATGTATGTAATTAGTGCAAGGAGTATTATAACTCGTTTGTTTCAGAAAGGTCCTCATACTTGAGCAATTAGATCGGAACTAATACTAAATTAAGTTAATAACAAGATACAAAACAAATAATAATGTATTTGGATTAATTAAATCTATTGAATCTACTTATCCGAATATGCTATCAATATATTGAGCAAGAGTGTGGGTGTCGAATGTGGTGTGGACATCGTTCATTTTTCATACATATCCACATCCTTTGAACACTTAACAAAATACAAAATAAAAGTATCGCTTGATTTCATAATTTTTTTTATTGTTCTTAGAATTTTTGATTAGTCATAAGTATATTATAAATCCAATGAAAATCATACTGAAAGCTTGTACGCTTGAGCGCTTTCTAAACTGAAGTTTTAGAATAGAAAAAACTAGTGTATCTTATTAGCTTGAATCATCAATCGACATTGTTCGATTTAGTTTATTGACAATCTGGTGTTATATTTCATTGATACTTATTAGAGTTTCAGGATTGGTCTCATTGCTATCGAGATACATATAATATTATCATAAATGTTGATTGGGTTTTTAATGAATGTTATAAACAATAATTATTGTTGATACGCCGTCCTTGCATCCAGAGTAACCATGTTCTAACCCATGCTGGTATGGATGGGCGATATGATCTATAATGATCATAGAGTTTCCCGAAGGATAGTGACGATGTGTGTCTTAATATCCGTGATCCTACCCAAGATCAAAATACAGATTGACGTTTGTGCTGACATACACGCGGAGAATTCCTAGATATCAATGCGGTAATCATACGTCTCTTGAGCAAGAATAAGAAATACTAATCTATCACGCTAATGAGATCTAACTCTTCGATATATCTTCATGTTTAGTTCACTATAAAAAACAAGAATGTTCGATTGATTCCAGTGTCATTTTTCATTATTAATCTTATCATTCTAGTATTTTTTCAATTATTTCCATTAAATAGTCAAAAAACTAGCAATAAATGTAAACAAAACAAAAAGCGAGGGTGTGAATATATAGCTTTAATTTTAAATCTTCAGGCTTGGTCCACAGCAAGAAAGATATTTTATGCCTCCATCAATCAATGAAAAATACTGGTGTTTTGAATTTAGTTATGTTGTCAAGCAAATTTGATTCGTCATAATAAGCAAACAAAAGTAAACAATGAGTATGGTGTGGCAGTAGCTTTAGACTTCTGTTAAGAGAAAACACGCATCCACATTCACACCTTTATTCATAGTCACATGAAGAGATTAAAAAAAAAATTTCGTTGAAAATATTTTTACACGTATTCATAAAAACTGATATTTAATGATTAATTATTCTAACTGTTACAGAATCATCTAAATATATTTATTGAATATTTTAACAAATGAATATTTCGATGTCAAGGTCACGATCGATAGATGAATGGTAGCTTTATTTTATGCATTTACGGTTAAATTTGATTGAAAAAAAATGCATTGCTATGATTGCGACAATAAAAATGATGCCAGGTAATGTTACAATAACGATTGCACGTAGATTTTTCTGTAATCATACGATTTGATTAATGTAATGGAGAAAGATTAGTTTTTGTTTTCCAGTATGCACGTAAACTTGAAAAAGATAATGGAATAGAATAAATGTTATATGATACGATTCAAGAATTAGAGTATGCGTATATTTGCACAACCAAAACATCAATTATATATAAGAGTGCAAGATATTCTTGTGTATATTGTGATCATTATCATTCAAACATAAATATAATGAAAAGCACATTTATCGTCGCATTTTTATTAATTGTATTAAATTCAGTGGCTCTTGGATTCGTATGCCCAACTGACGGTCTCTTCTTGAATCCGGATGATGAACACACATATTTTCAATGTGTACTTGGGACTGCTCATTTGATGCCTTGTCCAGCAGGATTAGTTTGGGACCAGAGCAATCGTATATGCGAATGGCCATCAGTTCAAGGTTTGCTCCTTTCTTCTCTTTCATCTATTAAAGATATTTTTTTTATTAACTCACACTATTTCAATTTCAACATAAAAGAGATTTGTTTTAGTCTTTCTCCCAAAACCTCATCATGAGTTTGAAACTACGCGGAAAATTCATATAACACTTCCTAGTTATAGGAAGCTGTTTTAAATATCTTTTTCCGATATTAACAAAGTCTAAATCAAATCATACGGTGAAAAACTAACGAATATGGTAGATTTCAGGCGAACACCTGAAGCAAATTTGCGTGAGAGTTTCAGTTTAGTTTCCGTTAATTCTTTCATCCTACCATAGGCGTATCTAATCATTGTCAATCTAGCTTCGAAGTTTAGACTTGGCAACCAAATCTGATGACTATATAGATAGTTACACAAAAATACTAAACGTAATTTGATACACTTACACAAGTGAGGCTGAATTTAAGTGGAAATTATAGATCGATTTAAGATAGAATCTAAAAAAAGTTTTCAATTGACCTTTCCATTTCATGACTGATTACTCTATGGACACGGAAAATCTAGCTGTGGTTGTATCTTCCAGTCAAGTGCCATCCAAAACCCATACAATAACTACTTTTTGAAAAACTTTTTAAAAGCTTATTTTTTATAATCTCTAGGACCTCGATGATCTTCAACCCTCATCGATTCATTATCCTAAATAGGATCTGAGAAATCATTCCTTCCTCAGTAGCTATATTGTTCTTCAATTTTAATTCAGTATCAATGATTAGTATGAAGAAAAAGCCTTTTGGCGTAAATCGATCTAGATATGACTGTTTCTATCCGTCCTATCAAGTCGTCGATCTGAGAAATAGATGTGCTCCATTATTAACTTACTAGTCACTTGTAAAAGTCTTTCTTGTAGCATTTAGACGTTTTCTAATCACTGTTGGTGGTAATACAACAACTGGTAAATGTCTCGATGTTGCTGGTGGTAATGCAGAACTTCACTCTCAAATTCAATTATTCCGTTGCCACGGAAAACAAAGTCAACAATTTGAATTACATCGAGACGGTACAATTCGCATCATGGGCAAATGTTTGGATATTCCCGATTCGAAAGCATATGATCATCAAAGTGTACAACTATTTCATTGTCATTCGGCCCAAGAAAATCAACGTTTCATAATTGATGCACAAAATCGTATCCATGTCATGGGCAAATGTTTGGATGTACCCAATGGTCAAATAGTCAACAATAATCCATTGCAATTATTCCGATGTCATAATGAAGCAAGTCAACGCTTTACATTGACACCTCTTTGATATGCGATATTTGTTATTTCTTTTGGATTATTGTTCAGCCTAAATAAATAAACATATATAAATGTGCTGTTGAACAACATATTTTGTATTGAATAGATCTACTTAGGAATATCCACAATTAGTGACAGTGATCTTTTAGTACCGTATAGTAAGAAAGCTTGAAAAAACTTTCTTTTTATATAGAATGATAGAGAAAAAAAATGCTCTTTAACTGCTGTATAAATGTGAGATGAAATCTGCATGAATCTCGAGTGACATGAAAATGGCTTGTCAAAAATACATTGCGTTTGACAACAATAGACAATAACAATTTCAGTTGTCGGTTTGACGATACAAACACATTTGCAGTGTATTTAGAAATCAGTGAGAATAGTATACAACAAACTAAAGCATGTCATGATAGTTTGGTGCATTCTTAATACACATATATCTCATTTTTTAAGCTGTTAAATACAAGAACAAGTAAAAGTAGTAATTAATGACTTAACTGCTTGCCACTGTGTACGTTAAAAAGAACAAAATATGATGTGTTCGAGTGACTATAGGTCATCACTATCCGTAGAAATGTGTAAGACGAGCATTTTTGGCACATCAATCGTAATTCTATGTAAGTAAACAACTCTCCAAAACTATATGGCGGAACTTTTCGAGATTGTCCTCTTAATATTAACTTGTTTTATGTATGTTTACAACGAAAGACTAATAAATGGAGAGAGAATGAATTCCACCGTTTAAATGGAATGCATGTATTGCAACAACTATTTAGATAATGGTTCCCATCATGCGGATTATTTGAATAGTGCAAATGAAAATAAATGCGAAAATAAGAGATAATCGACCGAATTGAACAATTCAAATGGCGCTGTCACGATTCGGCTCTTTCTTATGAAGAAGCCGATCATTCTGTTGACATGTTATTTTTAGCCTGTGACGGTGACAAGTGTACTGTATATAGATTATTTGTCTAACGTGATCTCGTTTCTCAATGTTGATCATGATCTAACATTGTAGGACGGATGATCGATTCAACGTAGCAGTCCTTCGTCACATTGTAATTGTTGCATGTTTGCCAGTAGTTTTGAGCCTGACAAGCAAAATAAATATATCGAACATCACAAGTTTCTTTTCCGGAAATCGTTTTGCCATAAAAGAAATAGCTGAAGCTCTAAATATCGAGAACGTTGTCTTTCACAGAATTGACACAGAAACTTTATGTGAACTTTTGTGAAATACGATTGTTAATACATAAGTGTTGAAGTACATAAGAAGAAAGATGGATCTATTTCTCGTTCATTCCTCTTACAGACTGCGTTAGACATGTAGATATATTTGTCATGGCTTGTGATAGATGTGACCATGTTGCTCTACCATGCCTAAAATGGTTCCATCGTGTTTCACATTTTAAGGTCGCCCCCCTCAAAAATCGACGGTCTGAGTGTGGTGGATATGGGTGTGAGAGAAGGGAAGATCTATATCCATACTCACATTCTACTTTGCAGTCGAAAAGAAACAATGATGATGAAGACAAAGGTAAGAAGGTGAAAATCAAACATAATGTAATCTTCATGCCAATGGCTTGAACAACGAGCGAGTTCAGTTACACATAGACAAAAACCAATCAGACTGATAGGATGATTTTGAATGAGACAAACTCAAGTGTCAAATGATTATTATGAGGGGAGGAATTCAGCAGTGTCCAAGGACTGAGAAATAGGAATTCCTAATTTGCAGAGGGATTGTCAGTATAGCTATGATAATTCCTTGGGGAAATGGGAATTGACCATTATTTCCATCAAAGTTCCCTCATTCATGAAAGTCAAAATAATGCTTTTTTTGCAATAATTTTCGTATTCATACGTTAATGTGCACAAATTTCTTGATGAAAACGATTGTAAGAGTAATAAGTACCGTGGATATTGTATTTTTTTAATTTTAGCATTCAAGAAAATGTCAGGGATCTGAGTAGGAATTCCTATTCCTCAGTCCTTGGACACCCCTCAGGAAAAGGTTTTCGAGACAAACATATGCTTACTTCAATGAAATAAACGAATATCAAGGAATTACTTGAATTAAAACGAGATTAACGAAGCATTTTGGTGAAAATCAATTATGCAGATACATTCAAGTGAAAGAATAAAACACGATACATGAACAACTATTTATGATTGATTCCAGAAAAAATTCGAGAAACCGTTTTCCATCTTCTCTCGAGAAGTCGACCACGAATATCAATACTATTGTCACCACCACCGTTGTTAACTGGCGTTCAAGTATGTTCGCTCGATATTGGAGCATAATCATGTTTATTCTTGGCATCTTTGAACATTTAGTAATCATATATGTGTTTACACGTCCTGCACTCCATTCAAATTCATGTGCCAGATTTATTTGGCATCGACTAACGTTGGTTGTTATGTAGTGTTTGGCATTCTTCCTTTACGCACTCTTGTAATTGACTATAAAATCGATTTATTTTTGTCTTCTCTGATAACGTGCAAAATTTCATTATTCTTATTGGTTTGCGAAAGACATTATTTCAGAGCATAAGAATAACGGAGCGAAATCGATCTTCTTTGCCCTTCTAACACAGTTCTATTCTCTTAGTTCATTCGTTGGATCTGTGCTGAGCGGTAAATAATATCGAGACAGATCGTTTAATAATACTTAGAGACCAAAATAAAGTGTTCAGAATTCAGAGTTAGTTGATGTTGTTAAAATTTTCTTTCGATATTTATTTACCAGCTATTGAATGATTTCTTTTCATTTAGTATCTTAAGTTGTCATAGAGTCGTTTTCTTTTCCAACTAGATATCCTTGCAGTTCATCGTCGACTACTCTTCGCAGTTGGAGTTCTCTTTGTTTTGCTTCTCGTGCTATTCCATGTGTCATTGTGCTTGTCGATCTCGTTCATATTCACATGCTTATTTATTTTAACTTACAACCGTTCTACATCAACCAGCATGTACCAATCAATCACTTGTATATCAAAAAAGTTTACGGTTTTGGTAACTTGATTTTGTGGAGTTTAATTCTATCCTCTGCTATGATTGTCTTTGATTTGCCCACTGTTCGCCAACGAGTAAGCAAAATCACACGTCACAATTCTCAATATATAAGTCCAAAATCGACTGATCGACAACTGGTCAGAATTATGTTTGTTCAATCTCTCGTATTTTGCTTGATAACAAGTGCCTTCTCAATCGGATCGGTCTACATTGCTGTGCAAATTATTCCATCACATTGTTCTCGTACATCAATCTCTTCAGTTCATTTTCAAGCTTCTATCTATTTACGTTGTCGAGTCAACTATTTCGCCGTGAACTTATGCATTTATTAACTTTTAGACAATAATTTTAAAAAAGGTTGACAAAAAAGCAGTCTTTGTGACAAAGTCGACTGATTTATTTTTGTACTCATCACCGACCATTGGATTCGTCAAACGTTAGGCATTGATCTTGAGAACTTATGAAAAGTAGATGTCAACACTAGTCTGAGTTTCTCGATACATTCAAACGACAAAATCTATGCATTGTCAATATATTTGGGCTTTTTGTTTGTTGGAGTGATCTAACGAAATCATGTCAACTTTATTATTCCTGATTTGTTCAAATCAAATAACTTGTTATGAGCATTTTGTCACTTTTGTGCAATTTTATAGCATGTTTATTGTGTGCTTTTATATACAATGATAGTGCGTAGTGATTAAATAAGTTGAAAGCGCTGAACACGATTATTATTCAGGTCACCTACATAGAGAAAGGTCTCATTCAGACTCAACGTGACGCTGGCAGGACCATAGAGCAATGTTGCAGTACTTCCGTACACTCCAGTAGTACCGGCGATGGTTACTCCTCTCGTTGCTCCGACACTCCATTTCTGTATTCGATGGTTGTAGGTATCGGCAATGTAAATATCGCCTGTGTTCTTCGAAACGCAAACACCCTGGGGATAGTATAACTGATTATCACCCGGCCCTTGCCCATGTCCACCAGCGACAGTAGTACCGATTGTCGAAGTGCCAAGCGTATAGCGCTGGATCCTATTATTAAATAAGTCAGCAATATAGAGATAGGAATGCAGTTCATCGAGATAAAGACCGTAGGGGTAATACAGGTGCTGATTATCATTACCTGGTGTACCCGTACCGGCCGCGACTGTACCATTGGTAGCGTTCGGCGCCCATTTTGTCACCCAATGGTAGTCGGGATCACTTACATAAATGTTTCCATATGAGTCAACAGCAAGTCCAATCGCTCGAGATACGGTCTTCGCAACCACGACACCACTTGAAGAGCCATTACGCCACAACATCACACGGCTGTTGGAGTTATCACTTACATAAATGTTTGATGATGCATCGACAAACACTTCTGCAGAATTGTTCAGTTGAGTAAGGCCATTACCTGCAGTTCCTGTTCCAACAGCAATAGAGCCAACTGTGGAACCCTCTTGCAGCCGCATCACCCGTGCATTGCTATAGTCACTTACGAAGAGCGAGCCGTCAATGCTTATGGCAATACCCCATGGACGAGTCAGTGTATCACTAGTATTTCCTGGTGTGCAATTCGAGTAACCACCTACAGTAGTCCCATATTGCAGAGACAGCGCTAAAGATGAAGATATGAAATGTTAAAATTATATTGCTTGTAAGGGCATCCAAAGTTCTCTATATAGATTGAGAAAGCTACGTTTGATTTCAACATCTCGAGCTGCAACAAAAATGTTTTTAAAACTCTCTTGGTAGGGGACTCGAATCAACGCACTGATCTGGGTATAAAAAATGCAATTTTCATTCAGTGAAATGATTTTTTTCTGATAAAAAAAACTTAGTAAATATAAAAATGCTACCTGAGAAATCAGTAGTGCTGTTATAAAGAAAATCTGTCTTCAACATGAAAAATATTTGAAAAGATTGGTGTACAAGACAGTAACTACACAATATTACGATAATTGATTACGTTGATCTACGTGAGTGAGCAAAAGTTCATTTTAATATGTAG